AGTATTTATCTAGATTCTAGAGCAAAGAATTTCACAGGCACAGTAGTGGGCAACCTTAGAGCAGTGGTTCTGCAAGTGTGGTCCTTGGACCAGCAGCATCCGCACCACCTGGAACCTGTTAGAAATGCTTTCTTGGGCTCCACCCCAGATCTCCTGAATCAGGGGCTTGAGGGGAGGGGGCCAGCTGTCTGCATTTTATTAGATCCCTGAGATGGTTCCAATGCATGCTCAAGTATGAGAACCATTGCCTTAGCTTAAGCAAGCAACACATAGATTAAAAATGAACGTTTCAATGAAATCATGAGAGAAAGACAGTTCAGCTTTAACCAAAGTGGGAGTGTTGCTGCAAGTTGCCCCTAAGGATCAGGAGAAAATGGTGTTTGCTATAAATCCTGATTTCATGGACGTCAGAATATCAGTGTTTTCTGGTGTTGAATGATCTGCATTCTCTGGATTGTAGTACCTGCCCGAAATCACGAGCTAGGATAAGTACTGTCATCCCCACCCCTCCTTCCCACAGGACACTTTCCTGACCCTCCCAATGCACACTCCCAGTGCAGGCTCGCACCACAAAGTCTGACAAATCTTACTTAATAAGTGATTGTATCTCTGGTTAGGATTCTGTTTTTCTCCAAAAAAATCAGTTAACTATTTACTTCGAGTCTTGTGACATTCGGGTCATTTACACCTCTCCTGTCTATTGCTAGTCAGGGTAAGGAGTTCAGTTTGTTAGGGGTTTGTTATTGTGGCTCCAGTTTACATGATCATGGATTAAAACAACAACCACATGAAGCAAGAGATAAGATGGGAAAGGAAGTGAAATGAGAAACCTTTGTCTTTCCAGGGGGTATAAGGAGGCTAAAACCTAACACAGGGCCAGGATTAGGGTAAGGTGAGCAGGGCATAAAATTTAAGGGGGTGCCAAAATTTGGTAATCAAGATAAATATTTTAATACAATATTTTAAAAAATAAAAATCCATGCAAAAAAATTCATGTTAAAATATCAAAAATTAAAGTACAGGCCCCAATTCCCTCTTTGGCCTGGCAGTTAATAAACAAGGCGACAACAGCAAAATTCACCCAACCTTGGAGCCATGAGGACTGTTGAATGGACATATTGCCAACTTGGTTTGTTGCAGGATGAGCACTCACTGGTCCCTACAATTGAGTGTAGAAAAGCTATGTCAGGCACTCTAAGAAGTATTGGAATTAGAAAAAAGATACTCTATTCCTAATTGAAGTCCCTACTAGTTGACTTCCTTTATTCACAAAGAATCATCTTGGAACTTCCAAAGCATTCATGTAGCTGGGAATGCTCCTGTTCCCACCGTGCACCTGTTCTTGGTCAGTGGGATGGCTTGTCAGGCCTGTCCTCTACTGTAGGCTTGTTTGGTGCAATGGGATGATGAGACTACCATTTCTCCTTCCCCTCCCCTTAGGCTCATTTATTCGCCATTTTTCTATCACTCATGGGTCTCAGAATCAGAACTGTGTAATGGAAGGACAGCATAGGAGGCATCACTATGTTCTTATCCCAGCTTAGCCACTGAACACAGGTGACCCTGGGCCATTCTTGTCTCTTCTCTAGACTGGGTTTCCTCGTCTGTGACTGGAAGGAATCAAACAAGACCATTCCCTGTTCCTCTCCGCTGCTCAAGCTCTGTGCTTTCCGTTACACTTGAGAGACTTCACATCCACAGGCTTCTCTCTCTCTTTTGTTTTTAAATATATTTTTATTGATTTCAGAGGAAGGGAGAGGTAGAAACATCAATGATGAGAGAGAATCATCCATCAGCTGCCTCTTGCATACTGGGGATCGAGCCCACAATGGGGGAATGTGCCCTGACCAGGAATCGAACCATGACCTCCTGGTTCATAGATTGAGCTCAACCACTGAGTCATGCCAGCCGGGCAGGCTTCTCATTTTTAACTCCTCTTCTCACTCCCCATTCTGAGAGCCTTTCTAATGCCTCAGAGAAATTAACTTCCCTTCTCTCTTTTCCATAATACATGGCTGATGATATGAAAGAAGTATCTAGGATTCACATGTATCAAAGCTGTGATTTCTAAAGAAAAACATAACAGTAAAGATCCACTACTCTTGACCCTTCCATTCACCCAGGGTGCCCTTCATAAATGGCCACGGAAGAATCAATCTGCCTCATCATTTTCCATTCATCAGGCTGATATAGCATCAGTTTATTCCACCAATATTTATTGAATGCCTTCTAAGGAGTGGGCACTTTCTAAGCCCTAAATTAGACAAAGTTCCTGCTCTTATGGTGTGCCCATTTATTCTATGTATACATGTATATGGATGGGTAAAAGTAGACTCATGGTTGTTTATAAGGAAAAAGACATGCAAGTTATGATTATTACAATAGCTTTATTAACTCAAAAGAATGTCACAATGAAACTGTAAACCTACATTTGTTCAACCCTGTATTTACACACTCAGGCAAGAAAAAAAATACCTCACTTTATGATCCTTAAATTAATTATGATTTGCGACTCCCATTTCACAATGCTGGCAACAATTCAATCTTAGGCATTTTTAGGGACCCCTCCCAGAACTCCTCAGGGGCACACAAACATCTAGAGACTCTCTGGGTTCCTGGAAATATGGCTCAGTGGACCTCACTCCCAAACCCTCACGGTCCCCTGAGGGCATATGGCTCCACAGCTTCTGTGCCAGGTTCGCCTGGGGCTCTTTGCTCAGGGTGTGAGTTCCTGTGCTCAAGATCTTCCTCATATAAAGTTTTCAAAATGTGCTTCCTTCTCTTTGGTTTGCATAATAACCATTAAGCCTTCTCCTCTGACATGATTAGGACAAGGGGCAAATACTTGATTCACTAATCCAGAAAGAGTTATATTTTTAGCACAAATTATTAAATGAATACTCATTTGTCAGTCTTTTAATTTTGGTCCAAGACCTTATCTTTGAACATGAGCATACTGTTTGGTTGTGGTTATTTTTTTAAAAGATTTTCATTCATAATTCATTATCTGTAATGCTCACCTTTAATTTCTTTTTTAAAAAATTATTGATTTCAGAGAGAAAGGGAGGGAGAGAGAGATAGAAACATCAATGATGAGAGAGGGTCATTGATTGGCTGCCTCCTGCATGCCCCACCCTGGGGATTGAGCCTACAACCATGGCATGTGCCCTGACTGGGAATTGAACCATGACCTCCTGGTTCATAGGTCAGTGCTCAACCACTGAACCACACCAGCCGAACCACCTTTAATTTCTTTATAGTCATTGGGAACTTACTTGCGAAGTTATATGAGGAAAGAATTGTTTATATATTTTTTATTTCTCCCAAATATATTATAGTATCTAATTTGACAGGATTAGCTAATGCCCATTACCTAATTCTTTCCAAAATATTCAACTTAACTATCTAGAAAAAAATCTCTTCTTATTTATATTTACATTTTACTGGTTTACATATAATTTAATAATTGCATAGTCTAAATAACAAGCACAATAGGCATTAACTGACTCCTGGTAGGCTCATACCTTTTCTGCTGAATGCAGAAATTAGTGAGCAAGTTAGAGAGCTCAGAGAACTCCTTCATCTTCCATTGCCTAATGAATTAAATCTATATCCTTCACCTTTACTCTGGCAGTTTAGGTCCCTCCAAACAAGGTTTGCTCAGCTATCATTCAGGATGGTCTGTGTCTACACTCCACTCGGGACACACTGTGCTAATTGTACCCTGGGCATTTGCTGGTGCTCTTGTCTGATGAGAATGTATGCATTCCCTACATCCCTGTATCTGTTAGGTATAGGTAAGGGTTGCAAGTGATAAAACTCCCCCACCACTCTCCAAAATTACAGGTTTTATTTTCCTCATTATGGTATCTTTTTTTCTTCCTTAATTCCAGCATTTCCCAAGCTTCTGTTATATCAGTATCTCTACTTAGGATTTGTCTTTAAATGGACTCACTTTGTTTTCACTTAGATCTATTTACCACAGAAAATTGTATCAGTGCTCTACAAGGAAAAACACATTATCCCGTGATAAATAAAATGGCACCATAAAAGGGAATTCAAAAAAACATACAACGTATCACCTCCTACCTAGGTTATCTTTGCCTGAGGTATGTTCTGTTTTGGTAAAGTGTTAAAAATTGCCAGCAAAGTTTCTCCTTGATGAAATTAGGATAATTGAAGAAGAATGGAGAATAGAGTGACTTTCTCATTGTTTTTTAAGTCACACCATGTCTATGCACCACCTAAAATAGTCTCCTGTACCAACTAAAATCATCTTGAATAATACATGCTCCACACTTTGGAAAACAATACCTTATTCCTATGAAATGATAAGCAGTTAATGGGCAAGAAATGATTCTTATTCTTCAATATATCTTTGTGATTCCTAGAATCTATTTCTTAGGCCTCTAAACCACCCTACCTCCTTCTAGGGGACCCTGAGGAGCCTCAGGGACCACTGTGTTATTTCATGAGAGAAATGAGCAGTTCTTTCTGCAGCTCTAGCCAGTGGATTGGCCTATCTTCTTTGACATTTTAAGATAGTAGGTTCTTCATACCCATGGTCTTAGGATGGACAACGGTTGTTTTTCCTCAAGCTCATGTGTGTATGTGGCGTGGGGGAAGGGGCACACATGTGGGGGCGGGAAGATAGCAGAGGAAGACAGACGTTTTTGGAGTTCCCTGTGTCACAAAGCTCTGTTCATGAAATGCTCCAGTGCTCTGGAGGTTGGGTTGTGCAGTTTCCTATCTTAGGTCAGTGTTTCTGAGAGTTGGATGAGACTTTGGAGATAATCTTCTCCCCCTCCTCCTCTGCCCACTTCAACCTCCTTGCCTGAAAGAGGAAACTAAGGCCCAGAGAACAGGTGTTCTACCCATGATGGCGCTGCCAGGAAGTTGTTAATTAGAATCACACCTAGATGTTTGAAATCAAAGTCCATCACAGCAGCTCTCCTGTGACTGACCTGAGTTGTTCAAAGACTGTCTTCCTCCTTTTCCAGGCAGTGCTGAGCCCTCTGATAGCCATCGCACTGAAAATATCCCAGATTCACGAGAGAACCGGCCGGAGGGGTCCCACTGTTATAACCTGAAGGAAGAAACCATGACTCACCAGGCCCAAAGGAGAGCGGTCTGCGGGAGACACGTCACCCACGCCTTCTTGCTACCTGTTTGTGCCTCTTATGACTTTGGAAAAAAACCCACAAAAGATAATTTGCTGGTGGGGGTGGGGGGTGGGAAAATAAAAAAATCTGTTTTGTTTGGGTTTTGGTCAGTTCCTCCCAATGCAATGGGGTCTTCAGTTATCTGTTAAAGCTGCACTATCATTTTCCTTGGTATGTTATCACACAAAGGAACATCCCCTTTTGAGAAAGAGTAAGTGGGCTAGGAAACTGTTCATCACGACATCTGGGCATCAGTGGTGCCAGGTGAGAAAAGGTTCTGAAATGTAATGGAGGAGAGTCCAATGCCAGAATTGAGCAGACCCCAAGCCACAGGTACCCTTGGGCAGACCTAAGAAGACCCTCCTCAGCATGGAGGAGGATTTAGCTTTTCATCCAAGGCCAGCTTTTCCATTAGGGAATTTGTAGACCTCCCAATAGTTCACCTTATCCCACCAACCACTTGATGACCCACTTTCCCACCTTCCATCTCCAAAGTCCCCGTGCCACCTTCTCTCACATCTTCTAAAGCTTTCTACACATCACAATGGCACACCATCAACAAAACATATCAAAGGGTGTTCTCTCTTATTTTGTAGATATTATTTTAACTATTGAGTTGGCTGCATTCCTTCAAATTCAGCCATTCATTATGTAGGTGGGAAATCATTTTTGGCAGGACTCCACAATGCGTGTTTAAAATTTTCAGGCCCTCCCTTGATCACATCACTGAGGGTGATACATGGGTTTATACTCATTCCTCCTGGGAAGACAAAATATCACCACGTCTGATCTCTGACGTTTTCTCCGCTATCTTATCTCCCAATAAGGGCCCATTTTTATGCACTTGTTTGGACACAGTTCAGCTCTTACTTATAATGACTGTAAAAGGAGACAATGAAATGCTGTGAAAGTAGGAAATGAAATGGATGCTGGAAGCAAACCTTATTGGTGTGGTGGTACAGTTATGGGCCTGATGAGATGCAGGTCAGAGCGGGGACCCCTGCTGGAGAGCATAGGGTCACAGCTGGCTGGCTGTGCCCAGAAAAAGGGTACCACAGCCTCAGCAGCCTCCCTCTGACTCAGCCAGGACACTGGGCGCGTGGGACCTGTTTGCATATGTTTTGCTTCCTTGGGAACGGCACTCTCACTTATCGTGTCATTTGGACTGATGACGTGGTGTGCTTTGACTGTTAAGCCGTTTGTTATTGCTGTAGTTAGGATTAGTGAAAGCAGGGAAACCTTCCCACTAAGGTTTTTGTTTCTATTTTCTATCTATGCCTGTCAGAAACTTACTAGGACATTTAGTTTCCAATAAAAAAAAGGAATTCCTATTTCAACCTTATGCAAAGATTGTGGAGTTTTGCTTATTTGTTTGTTTTTCAATTTGAGAAACCCCAATAGTGGTCACTATTCTGATAAGTCTGCCTTTCAGAACACTAGCAAGGGCTGGTTTTCATTATCATGACTTTAGGAATTTATTAAATAAATGGAACAGAAAAGACAGATGAATTGCTCAAAACTGCCTCTGGGAGTGAGCAGAAACTGAAATGGCGTTTGATCTTTCATTGTAAGTATCTTCACTTCAAAATAATAAGAGGGTGGCTTTGGGCTAAGAGTCTAAAGAACTAGTTATGAAATCCAGCAACAGAATACAATTTGCCTTATAGCTTTGGTTCTCATCGTTTTTAAAGTGATGGTCCATGATGGCCATTTATTCACTACTCAGCTCCGTGTTGGTCAACACAATTAGTACATTCTTAGGCTTGCCTGCCGGTAAGAAAATACTTATTTTTCCTCAAGTTGCTACTTTTAATCATCTCTAACTTTCCATGTTCAAATGCAAATTAATCCTCATTTTAAAATTCTACTTCTTTATTTCTCTACAGAGTCATGTGTGTCCAGCAGCCCAACTATATATTCATTCATCTAGCAAACAATGATTGAACAACTCTATGCAGAGTCCTGGTTTTGGTGCAGCAAGATGTATAAAATGTTATTCCTGCTCCTGTGAGTTTGTGAGTTGGAAACAAGAGGCTATGACAAAGAATCAGATAGACATGAATGTTACGGTAGAGGCACAGGCAACGTGCTGTGGAAATTCATAGAGAGATTGACTCAGAGAAGGAAGGACTTGGCACTTGAAGGGTTTCCCAAAGAGTGGAGTTTCCTGAGACTTGTAACCATTTACATAATTTCACCAGGGGTAACCATAGCAAGAACAAAGTCTAGGAGTTGAGAGGTGGAAGGGCTGGAGAGTAGGCTTGCTTTGGGTCCAGTGAGGGTGGCTTAGATGAGTGGGGTTGAAGCAGACACAGTGTTATAAATATCAGGTAGAGCAATGCTTGGGCCCAGTGATGGCAAGCAGCTGCACAGCCACCTGTGTTTACAGAGCTTCTCAGCGAGGCTGCAAAGGGAAGGTCCTGCAGTGGCTCTAGGATGCAGCCTCTCTCTGGAACCTGCTGGCATCACATTGCCAAGGTACTGTATCTGCTTTACCTGAAACCCAAGCTCCTATTGCTGAGCTATGCATCCATGTCCTCTTGCCTTATCCTCCAAGAGTGGGAGACAAGAGGTCACTCCTCTGCACATAATGTGCATTAGGCTCTTGAAGACGGAGCTCCAGCCCTCAGTTTTTCTTCAGAGCAAATGACTGGAGAAATCCAAGAAGTTTGTGGGGCCCACAGGAGACAGTCATAGAAGAGACATAGAGTCTGGAAAATGCAAGGGTCACTCTTGTAATCAGCTAATATTGAGGGTGCACTCACGACACCATGCACCTCCAGAGCAGTGACAGCAATGCTATATAACAGTATATACAATATTGCAACATGTGGTTCCCAACCAGGCTGGTAGGGGCTTGGAAATGTGTGTACACATGCCAGGTAGGTGTTTAGTGGAAAGGGACCAAGGATGCTAAACATCCTGCCCGGTGTCACTCCGTCCTTGAGAACAAAAAGTTGTTTTGCCCCCTCCGTGATTCTTGAGTTTATTAGTTGACTTTGAAAATGGGTAGGTAGCCATTACTAAAATGAGATCATTTATCTAATCTCACTGATCTGAAGCGCAATCTCCATCCACAGTATTCACGGGACAAATAGTGTTGCATGACACTGTAGGTCAAAGGGCTTGGACATGGCAGGAAGGCTTTCTGCACAGGGAGCTTAAGACTAATGACCAGTGCCATGGTGCCGCCCTGGGCTGACAGCTGGCTGCCCTGTGCCAGTGCTCTCTGCAGGTAATACAGGCAGTGACAGGGGTAATGGTTGGGGACTTCTCACTGGCCAGCTGTGGGTCAGTGTAAGGCATGGATTCACTTTGGTGGCAATATCCATCAGCCATGGCAGGTCTGGGGACTTTGAAGAGCGCCTGGGGGCATCCGTAGTAACGTTAACAGATGACTCCATTTTATTGCTTGGTCATACACTGGGTATTCTCGAAACACATGGCCACTGGACACTGATATCCCAGCCACCAGCCTTGAGGACATTCCATTCCTGAGTGGAGAAGGGTCTGAGAAATCTCGCACCTTTGGAAATGATGTAACTGCCAGTAAATCAGTCTACAGCAGTTACAACTGGCCCTTCAACAGTTACAAACAGCAAGAGATTATCTGAGGCATCGGAGCTTAGCAGCATGCCTGCGCCACTCCAACCAGCTGGAGGCCTTATCAGTGGGCCCAGCTCTGCAGCTGACAGCCCACCTGGTATGTGAAGCAGCCCGAGTTGCCAGGGAGCATTTTAGGATCCAGTGAGGATATGCATTAGAAACCCATGTCTTTATCATATTTCCATGTCTTTTAGCACCTAGTATGTGCCCTGCAATGTAGGTGAACTGGGGATACCTCACTAAACACTGTTTAAGTAGAATCCTGAAGGATTGTCAGTAAAAGGACTTGAGAGTTTTTTGTGTGGAGGGTTTAAAAATACCCACGCTACATCTCAGGTATGCAAGAGACTCAGCATGAACTACTCTATAACTGACCTTATCATGCTCACCTTCTGGGATGGGGGTACTTAAACTTACTATTCAGGGAGACATTATAAGACTAAAATACTTGGAGAGCCATCACCTCTGAATATTGCCCTTCCCCAGTGACCTGTGAGATTATCATTCACATTTGAGAAGAGGGAACAAGCAAAGACACTCTCCTTAGAGGTTTGCCTCTTGTTCACTTTCTCCCCTGTCATTCACGGAATCCGGGTTCTCAATCCATCTCCATTAATTTTATCATAAGCTTATGGAGGAAGAGGGGATACAATGTCTGTTTCCCTGAGTGAATCCCCCTGGGGTGGCCAATGAATTCTTACTAACCACACAGACACTTTTGTCTGACTGGCCCAGTGGACTTTAACTGCTGGGCCTTTCAAAGGTGGGCTTTGTTTTGTGTAACACCCATGTTCTTGATGCTTGCTTCAGAGTACATATGGGTGTTTCTTAAAGTCAATAAATGCCTGTTAGTGGTATTTCTTTTCAAAAAGCACCTGCCTAATTTCCTGAATCAATAGTTTTTCTCAGTAATGTTTGGTTTCGCAAAGAGATTTACTCATTTGGATGCTGTGTTAGGTCCACATAGAGAATGAAACTTTGACTTATGTCCCTCTATTGATTCCCCCCCCCGCCCCCGATACAAAACAGTGGCAAAAAAGGGAAAGTTTAAGTACAAAATTTATTACAGTAAAGAGATTAAAACAATTTTCTTATGTAAACCAAAATTAACATTTGTTTCACAGGACTACCAGTAGTTGGAAAAACTATCTATTACAATTGCACACTCTGGCTGAAAGCCCAGCGATGGAGCTTGTTCAGGTCAGTGAGTGTACTCAGACCCCAGGGAAAATTTCAGGACTACTGGCTCAGTAGAGGGAAAGAGACAATGAGACAATTGCATTGCTTACAAATGATCACCTTCCTGTTTGACAACCTGCATATCTAGTTGTGACCTTGATGTCAAGAATTCAAATCACAGATGCCCAAATTCATGCTTCTTGTAAATGGACCAGGATTTCCTTTTATGTGGCTTCCTGTGTATTTTTCAGCAATAACAGGGAAGAGAAGGCCAAGGGGCCCCATCCCATCTCAATACCCCTCTTCCTCCTTGAAAGATCTTCATCCTTCTTATCACTGTCCAAATCCTCCTGTGCCCATTCACCAGCTGCTGCCTGTTACCACTAGGAATCATCTTCCATCATCAGTATGATGATCAGATGAGAGGGAACTACACCAAGAGGGGAGGGCCAAGCTCCTGGGCAGAAAACCTGGAGGCCGAATTTACATTTTATTTTATTTTTTTAATATATTTTATTGATTTTTTACAGAGAGGAAGGGAGAGAGAGAGTTAGAAACATCGAGAAAGAAACATCAATCAGCTGCCTCCTGCACACCTCCTACTGGGGATGTGCCTGCAACCAAAGTACATGCCCTTGACCGGAATCGAACCTGGGACCCTTCAGTCTGCAGGCCGACGCTCTATCCACTGAGCCAAACCAGTTAGGGCCGCGTTTACATTTTAAAGGAGAATCCAGAAGATGAACTCTAAAGCAACCTCTGCTGCCTTTTCAGGGGCTTTAACGGATTGCTCCACTTCCTGTTAGGGCCCACTTTCTGAAGGGGGAGAGAAGTCCAAACTGCTCTCTGTGAGGAGGGAAGTAAGACTGGGTAAATAGCATAAAAATTGGAAGTAAATGCATCCCCCTCTATGGACCTTCCTTCATCTTCCTGGAAATAACTATGTTATTGGAAAAGTTTCGTAACTTCTCAAAGCCTCAGTTTATGCATGTGTAAAATGGGAATAACCATTGCACACATCTCTGAAGACAATCAGGAGGGCTAAATAAAAAGCACAGAAAGTTCATAGCACAGAGCATGCCATATAAAAAGGATTCCATAATGGTTAGCTATCAATCCCAGCGTAAATCCTTCACTCGATAGAGTAGAAAACTGAGGCCCAGAGAGAGGAAGATTCTTATCCAAGCTCTAAAGCATCAGGCTGCGTGTCTTTCCACACCCTGCCATCCCACTTGTCCCCTTAGAGTAAAAATATAATGAAGCTGACAAGATTTCTTAGAGGCTCAAGATCCCCTCAGGGTGTTCTTGTATGGGGTCACGGACATGGCTTTTCCTCCCACAATCCCTTGCCTGCTATTATTTTTAGCAGCTGTGCCCCATGAGAGGATGTCCTGGGTGCCAGAGAGCTTCCCCTGCTTCAGCACTCTCGACTTTGCCTCTGGGCATCTTTCCATGGTGTTACTGCTGCCACCCCGTCCACTACAGACTCGGCATAGGATGGTGGTGCCTCTTGGTGAGCTCCACTTTCAACCTCAAATCCAAGATCCATCTCTGTGTACAGAGGTGGAGGGATATCCACGGCCTCTCCCTCTGCAGGACAGGTTTGCTTTCCAGCATCCAGACTTTCTTCATAAGCAGGAGGGTAAAAATCTGGCCTGGGGGACAAAATGCCACAAACATGTACATGTTATTCAAGTGGTTCAGGCCAGAGAGGCATATGATTGCCTCTCTCAGATCACACTGCAAAGTGAAACTGTTAAGAAACACTGATTTTGAAACAGATGTATTTCTTCCCTGGCATCACCAGTTTTTAAAAAACATGTCGCTCCTCCAGCAGGACCCTCTTTCTCAGCCATAAGATATGGGTCCCTGTAGTCACACTTTCCCCAGTGGGTTATTCCAGGCTATCCCCTCTCTCTTACTTGTTGGAACCAAGACTTCTAGAGTGAGATCCTTAGCAGGGGTAGGGAACATGAGGGCCTGAACTGTGGAACTTCTCTACCCAATTATTCAGTCCATTCACAGCCTATCTCCATTCACACATATAATCATCTACTCAATTGCACTCACAGTCTCAGATCCTCACAGCCAATAAAATAATGAATGTAAACCAGTTCCATGAATTTCCTTGCATTACATCAGATGCTTGTCTCTTTCCCATTGCTTTTTCAAGTCTCGGCAGCTAGTTAAAACAAAACAAAAACAAAACAACTAATTTCCCAAGCGATTTAAACTGAGAACTTTATGTAGATTTCAGTTGCAACTTTTTTCCATACCATCAGACCAATGGCTAACAGAACCATTCATGTCTGAGCTGGTAATCTTGCCCAGTGTTGCTAATTGCTGAATCCTTCCAGCTTCTCCATTATGAATGGGATTGGGGGTGGCATGGAGGTGAGGAAGAGAGAGGGTGAGCTTGGTTGAGTTGTGTATTTACAAAGTGAATTCTTCCAGTGCCTACAGGGAGTGTTTGTGATATGTAACCACAACAGAACAGGGACTGCCATTTGTAGGCACAGCTCCCTTCCAAATGTGACCAGGCCCAAAGCCAAATGGCTGAAGCCACTGTCTACTGTACAGCCCACATCTCAGCCTTCACTCAGAATAGCCAAGGCTGTGTCATGGGGCATATGTGCTAAGACACTGAAAACAGTAAGGTGAGCTGTCCCCTAAAGCAGCGGTCGCCAACCTTTCGGACCTCACAGACCACCGGTTGGCGACTGCTCCACTAAAGTGATTTGAGAGGCTCCAGGGTGACTGCTGCCTGCCCCCCAAATCCCATTCACCTCTCCCAACCCTCCTCACCCCTAGCAGTTTCATTCCCAGTGCCCTGGGTTCTACCACTGCAAGCCCATTTGCTTTTATTTTTTTAAAAAAAATTTTATTGATTAAGTTATTACATATGTGTCCTTATCCCCACATTACCCCCCCCCACTCATGCCCTCACCCCCCTGTTGTCTGTGTCCATTGGTTAGGCCTATATGCTAGCATATAAGTCCTTTGGTTGATCTCTCCCCCTTACCCTCACCCTCCCCTACCTTCCCTCTGAGGTTTGATGGTCTGATTGATGCTTCTCTGTCTCTGGATCTGTTTTTGTTCATCAGTTTCTGTTGTTCCCCATTTGCTTTTAATTCCTCAATGTGGGTACCCATTTGAATGCAAATGCTTCTGGGAAATGGAACTTCCCATTGGCTGACTTGCTAGCCATTTTGACTGAGCTGGGCATCTACTAGATGCAGTAGGAAGAGACAATAAACAGGGGCATCATGCTGTCTGTAATTTAAGGCATTTCTGCACAGTGTGATGTTATGTATGTATTAATAAATTTAAGCTACACCCAAAAGGTAATCAATTACTCTTATCAGGAATTTCATACTCTGGAGGCAATTATCTAACATTTATGCAAAATAAAATCATTCTAGATGCATCTTCTAAAATCACTTCTAAAATCACATTTTATCAAACCCAGAGTTCTTGCTGATAAGTATAATAAACATCGGAAATGGGGTTGGATTATTATAATTAGTATCATTAATTAGTATAATAATGTCAAAAATCAAGTCATGGGTAAAAGTGCACTACTTATTCAAAATACACGGAGTAGCAAAATATACAGAGTAGCTAAAGTAATTTAGATGAAGAGGGTAAAAGAATTTATGGAGTCTTGCAGCCCGTACCTTAAGGATGATGCCTGATGTTTTATCCCTAAATGGTCCTGCGGTCAGCCAAAAATTAGGAGGTTTGGGGTTGTCAGATACTAACCATGAGGTTAACTGAAATGTTTTCATATGGTAAAATATATAACAAAATTTACCACATTGGCCAGTGTGCAGTTCACGACACTAAGTACATTCACATTAAATGCAACCACCAACACTATTATCTCCCAAACTGAAGTCCCGTGCCCATTAAACAGTTACTCCCCATCCCCCCGCCTCCTGCCCCTGACAACCAGAATTCCTTACTTCTTAAGGCTGAAAAAAATACTCTGTTGCATGTATACACCACATTTTGTCAATCCATTCATTCACTGATGGCCTAGGTTGTTTCTTCCTTTTGGCTAATGTGAAGAATGCTGCTATGAATATTGGTGTAGATATAGCTGTTCCAAGTCCCTGCTTTCAATTCTTTTGTTTGTATACCCAGAAGTGGAATTGCTGGATCAAATAGTAATTCTGTGTTTAATGTTTTGAGGAACCTCCATATAATTTCCCACAGTGGCTGCACCACTTTACATTCCTACCAACAGTGCACTAGGTTTCCAATTTCTCCACACCCTTGCTGACACTTGGGTTTTCTTTTTAATAGCTATCCTAATGGGTGCACTGTGGCAAGGTTATCTGAATCTTACCACTGGAATATAATTGCTTTCCCTCAAATGAATCTTTCATGCAAAGTATGCTCACAATACCTAAAAGGTTACTAAGCTGGGACTTCACTGAGTTCCTAATGCAGGACTGATTTTATGCCTGCGTGCTCACTTGCTGTGTGGCAGAGTTAGGCTCTGGACTTGCTTCCTTATAACCTGGTAGCTAGATTAAAAGGAATAACTACCAGCTTCTAAGGACAGCTCCCATCATACAACAAAAGAACCTCTTAAATTGGCTTAGGTGAGTTTTCAATGTGTGTGTGTGTGGGGGGGGGGGGGGGGAGGGATGGCGTCTCTGATATAAATTCCATTTACTTCATGGTTTTCCCAGAGACAGCACCATTATTCCTATTAACTAACCCCAGAGCAATCCCCTGATGATAACACTTTGGTTCTAGACATACAGCCCCATGAGACATGTCAAGTGCTCCACAGCAGGGTTAGAAGTCACTCAGCTTTTCCAGAACTCAGGCCCATCTCAACCCTCATCGGTCCTCTGGCTTATCAGCACATACCTGTCCACTGTGGCTGGGGCCATGGCCCTGTGAGCAAGATGTGGTCTGAGCCCATGGCTGAACATCCCTTTGTTTTCACTCGCCTGGCGGTAGGTGCTCCAGAAAATCCCACTCAGAAGGATCACAAACCCCAGAGGCAGAAGCAAATAGGCCAGGATCAGGTTCCACCGACAGTTGAACGTGGAGCCTGAGGAGATGAAGAAGGCCCCCAGGCAGATGATGAGAAAGCCTGTCAGAAGGGCAAGGGCACAGAGGACTGCACCGGTTCTGTTCCGCATCCCTGCTCCTTGGGAACCCGGCTCCCTGACCCTGCCACTCCCCTGCTTCCCCTGCTCAGAGAGAATGCTCATTAGCCAGCTCGTAGCTTTATACGCTCTGGGACCAATTGGCCTTTGGACAATTAAATGAAGCAGGCACTTAGAAGGTACTCATTAACCATTGAAAGTAACTATAATGTATATTGGAGGATTAACCTAAAAACACAGCACTGTGTACTACAGGAAGGAGTGGCTTCTCATTGCTGCCTTGTTCTTCTGAGCTGGAGAGGACCCTCTGCTGACACCAGTTATTTGAGGGGCGGTCTCCCATCATGGATTACAAGAACACTGGTGCCTTAATCCCTACTGTGGGTAATTCCCCACGAATGCTAGAGAAATTGGCATTCCTTGATGAACTATCTTCTTTGTGGCTTAGCAGGAAGTCCCTTGATTTCTTACTTCTTTCTCTGTACTAAAAAGACTTTTTCAAAAGGCCCTTAACATGTTTGTCTTGCCTCTCTCATTGACTCTCCCTTTATTGCCTTTGTACTATGATATTGAAAAAATTCCAAGAGAAAATCCCTTGGAGTGAACTCCCTGATTCCTTCTCTGCTGACAAGCAGGAGGGGAAGAGTGCTGGAGAGGAGAATTGTAATAGAAGAGCTTTGGGAATTGGGAGGGATTTCTGTGAGTAGTTGTAAAAGGTGATGATGTGGTGACTTCTGCTCTGATTCTGATTTTGTATCTTTCCCATTGTTGGTGTCCAAATGTTGAGATCCAAGGGTCATTTCTGCTTATCACATAGGTGTTGGATAAAAATATTTTGCTTATTGCCCAACCACTGGCCACCATTCTTGGCTTAGAGAAATATTTGAACCAGTTCCCACCCATCCTGCTAAAAAAAAAAAAAAAAAAAAAAAAAAAAAAAAAAAGCCACAGGCATTTGGTAAAAGAGCATTCTCTGAAATACACAGCATGTTACCACCTCCACACAAAACAAATAAATACTTGTGAGAAGCTCTGCCTAGTCAAACCGCACTCTACCTTACACACAAATTAGGGTCTCACAGAGCGTACTAACATACTAAAGGCCCTGAAAATCCTGTAATCTTCTTCCCCTCATAAAATATATATTTAAAAACTATGTTTTGATAGATGCTGCTAAAAAATGTTTCCTGTCCTCTCCCCCATACTGTTGCTCTATGTAGTGTTGCCTCAAAAAATCTTTCTAGAACCCACTTCTCTTTTTTTTGTCCAGAATGTGTTTCTTCCGTCTTGACCAGCCGTGGGCAAACTACGGCCCGCGGGCCGGATCCGGCCCGTTTGAAATGAATAAAATTAAAAAAAAAAAAGACCGTACCCTTTTATGTAATGATGTTTACTTTGAATTTATATTAGTTCACACAAACACTCCATCCATGCTTTTGTTCCGGCCCTCCGGTCCAGTTTAAGAACCCATTGTGGCCCTCGAGTCAAAAAGTTTGCCCACCCCTGGTCTTGACTGTCTTTAGTTGCAGACACCCTATTCTAGATCTGGTTCATGCCCTAATTCTTTCATTTTTTTATTTGATGTATGTCCCTGCCCAGGGGGGTCTCTGGGTCACCTCTGTCCAGAGAGATTACCTTCAGTTCCTCTTTGATTTTTCTCTACCCCCCCTATTCCATTACCATTATTTTCCATTTACCTTCCCAGTGGAGAAAGCAGTTCTTTGCACAATAAATACGTGTAAAATTAAAGACACTGGGTCAAAAATGCTATAAGGTACGTCCCATTCTACCTCCTAACGTCTAACTTTACTAGCTTCAAACCTTATACCCTGAACTACTTTCATCTTCTAGTCTTGATATTATCCTTGAAATCTTAAAACAACTCTTTCTCCCTCCTTCTCTAGTTGATCTTGAGGTTGGCAAATTTCTAAGATGCCCCCAGGGATCCATGTCCTTTTGAGTGTGAGCTGGACATGGTGGCTCGATTCTAACCAAAAGAATATGGCAAAGGTGATGGGTGTCACTTCCATGAATAGGTACAAAAGATTGTGACATCTGTCTTGCTAGCATTATCTCGCTGCCTCATAGCTTGCACCCTGGAGGAAGGAAGTTGCCATGTTGGAGAGGCCATAAGACAAAGAACTGAGGGCAGCTTCTGGCCAACAGTCAGTGAAGATCTGAGGCCCTTAGTCCAGGAACCAGTGAGGAACTGTATCCTGACAATGATCACGTGAATTTGGAATCAAATCCTCGCCCAGTTGAGCCTTGAGGTGACTGTAGCCTAAGCAACGCGGTGATTGAGAGACCCTGAAGCCAAGCACTCAGCTAAGTCACACCCAGATTCCTAACACAGGAAAACTGTGAGAAGGTAACTGACTGTGTGCTGTTTTAAGCTGCCAAGTTTTGTGGCATTTTGTTAGGTAACTAATACAGTTCTTTAGGACTTGGAAACCAGAAGACACAATCAATGTTAAATGTTTACACAGTGCCTGGCACGTAGAAAATGCCCTATCTACGTTAGCTAGAATCATCCTCACCATTATTGTTACTTTTATTACTGTTGTGATTCCAAAAAACTGGGGAAGACCCAGGATTTCCAACTATAAGGGGTGCCCTAGAAGTTGGGTCCCAAGAACAGGTAAATGGTAGGGCCCCAGAGATGAGTGTAGAGGAAGGAGGGACAGCACTCTCTATCAGAACTGCTCACCCAAAGGGTTGGGCTTTTTTGTTTTAGACCAAAACTGGGAGAGGAGTGAATCAGACTGGGCATTAGAACAAATCAGGCCTGGTTCCTGTGATCACACAAATATTTGAGCAAGCAAGTCTCTGTACTTTTCCTCCTCTAGTTCCAATAAAGGATAAATAGTGCCTCATAGTTTGTCAGACAGATTCTTCACTTCCATATCCTTTAAGGAGGACCCTGTCATTCCAGAGCAGTGGGTTTTGTTGGTGGTGGTTTTTTGTTTGTTTGTTTTGGTGAGAAACTGGGTAGGAAAGAGCAAGATCCAAGAGCTGGCAGGAGGATGAAAGGGAGTAGTGACTTTTCATGAGATCCCTGGGCTCAGAATATTTGAGGAGTTTATCTTGAGTGAGGTGGGGCATCAAGGAGAAAGTATAGAAGAAGGTGCAGTATATGAAGAGTAGATGGGAAAGGGGAAAAGAAGCAATATAGAAATAGGAAGTATTGCTGGGAACCACCTGTCTTCTTCATGACAGTGGTTGAGACATACCCAGGGATGATTAATGTTACAGTTATTTTTGCATGTTTGTGTTTGTTTTATAAAATATATAAATTGTTAAATAATAAGATTTTTTTTACTGTGACTCAGCTTCAGTTCTGAACCACATACACCCCTGCTGCATGACCATTATTCCCCTTTGATGCCTCAACAATGACCAAGGATAACTCAAACCAGTTGACTTGGAGTTTTAAATAATTTTTTTATTACTTGTGGTTTCCCTGTTGTTTGTGTTGTGGTATACCCACATTCCCCACAACTACTAGCAGTGAAAAGGCTTTTTGAAAAGTAGAAAATGAAAGTAGATTGGTGCTTGCTTCAGTGATCATGAACGAGCACAGGCATTGAGAGAAAGCACCCTGGCCTTCATCAGCCTTGAAGGGGCAGAAACCCAGGCGGAACAGCAGTCAAAACCTCAGGGCTGGGGGAAAAGAAAAGAAATCCAATAGAGAGCCAGCCAAACACCAAAAAGTCACCCTACAGAGTCCGTTTCAGGAGACCTGTGGGCTTTTGCCTGGGCTTCCTATGTTCTCCCCTATCTGCTGGGTCTGCCTTCACTCCCAGGCCAACTTTCCTACCCTCCTCCACCTCATTACATACCCAGCACTGAGTGTGAGAGTAAGGGGCCAGGAATATTGACTCCACTTAAAGGTGAAGAAACTGCAAGAGACAGAGCTTGATGATTCATTGAAGTTCATATAGACCAGGGGTGGGCAAACTTTTTGACTCGAGGGCCACAATGGGTTCTTAAACTGGACCGGAGGGCCGGAACAAAAGCATGGATGGAGTGTTTGTGTGAACTAATATAAATTCAAAGTAAACATCATTACATAAAAGGGTACGGTCTTTTTTTTTTTTAGTTCTATTCATTTCAAACGGGCCGGATCCGGCCCGCGGGCCGTAGTTTGCCCACGGCTGATATAGACAGTGTGGGACTGATGGTGAATGGGTACTCTGGGAGGAATATGGACAGAAGCCCACCTTCGATAGAGGAACATTCTGGGACCCAACAAAGGCCAAGCTAAAGTCCTCTTACCCAACTCCCATCTCTTCAACAATAAACCCACCTGGGAAATGATGTTTTTCCTTTAAACCAGTTTATTTATTGTCATCATTCTTAAAAAGTCACCAATCAGCAAAAGTGCCTGGCTTGGCAGTAGGCAGTAACATGTTATTTGGTTGACAGCCAAACTATCTTAACACATAATCACTCTTTCAACACTTTGTTCCTGTGAGCATGACCACCCCATGGGTGCTGTTCTGAACACTGAGTGAGCCGTGCTCCAAGCACTGTGCTGCCTTCCGCGATGGAGCCCCTGAAACCTCCCCCTCCTTTCAAACGCTCCCTGCAGTATGTAAATGCCTTGGAACTTCTAATGGCCCTCTGCCCTGTCTTTGTTTGCTGGATGCTTGGCCCGTACCCTTCTCTTGAAAACAGGAAAAGTGTATTGCATTGGGTAAGAACTCAATGGGGACTTTGGAAGGAAGCTAATGGTGTGTAGAAGCTGTTGCATAGGAGGGGCATGGGGCCAAGAGCTGAGGTTGAGTGGCCAGATTTCAGAAGGTCACTTTGCTTCAGGAAGTGAGGCTTTGTGGGAGATGGGGAAGGTGAGCATGTGCGTAGCGAGCGATGTCAACAGGGTCTGGTGATTCCTGAGTGATTTCTGGATTAGCCTTTCACACGTATGGGTTCATTGAACACTGGCCATTTCCTCCTCTTTTCCTTTTTGTTTTCTCTGCTTTGGAAACTCCCCCGTTCACCACCACTACCACCTCTCCTTTTCCCCTCACTTACTCAAGGAGGCATTTTTAGGTTGACAGAGTACAGACAGTTTCTCAGAGAACGTTCAGCATTGTGAAGTAAG